TAAACCTTACGTTCTCAACCCCAAGCTAGAAACCGGAAGCCACATCCTGGAGACCCCAGGACTCCCTCAGCTTGTATCACTTGGGGGGAGGATCATGGAATTACAGTAAGTCTGGATACAAGTACTCATAGCCCAAGTCACAAAGTCTCATGACCTTTAATTCATCCTAAACTCCCCCTTTATTATGGAACCCTTTCTAGATCCCTTCTAATGAACCCTTTTTAAACCTAATTACTACGGCTGATGGCATAAATCCTGCATGACTGCCATAATTCCATTAGTTTAGGGTCCTTAAGGCAATGCAGGATTTATATCATCAACAGTAGGTCCCATGATCCTTCAAGTACGTGTTGAACCTGAGACGTTGGGTCTGAAGTTGCTGTTTGCATCTGCGCAGAGGGTGCAAGCAACGTGGCATTTGGTTTAGGGTTTAGAGTTCAGAGCTTAGGGTTTAGGGTCTCGAGTTTAGGGCTTAGAGTTCAGAGCTTTGGGTTCAGGGTTTAGGGTCTCGAGTTACGGGTTTAGGGTTTAGGGTCTAGGGTTTAGGGAGATTGATCAAAGTGTCTCCTCGTAATTCTTTTATCATTCGACTAATGTACCCCAAGAGCTATTCTGATAACTCGGTAAGGTTCCCATATTGTCCAAAAAATCACATAACTCCTCAATTGGGCAACCCATCTCAACAAGGCATCAAGGAGCGCAGCGCCAAATAGATTCAGAGGTTTCAAGGCATCTGATACCACTAAACCCTCAACCCGACCCATGAAACCCTAAGCTCAAACGGACCCGATGCACACCCGAAACTTCTAAACCCGCCAAACCCGCAAAGGCCTCAATGCCCCCAGACACTCGGACACCCCCTCAATTAAGGAAGATCCCATTAATCATAATATGGCTATTTAAGCATGTGTAAGCCCTATATTATATTCCGGAATTTTAAGGGTTTTGGAGTCCAAGGGCCCGAGCCGAAGTAGCTCCTAGCTTGTGTGCAGCGAGGTCTTGCAGCAGGACGGCCAGCTAGCGCCACCGACGATCTGTCACCCGGCAGAAAAAGGCGTTTCCTTTGGCGGAGTTTGAGGTTTCGCTCTGGTTTCGGTGTCTCTGACCTAGGGTTGTAGCTTGAATCCTGAGCCCACACCCTGAACCCTAAGCCTCAACCCGAAGCCACCAGAAATCCGAAAGCCCGAACCTGAACACCTGAGCCCTGAGCGCTCTTCCTCTTCCGCTCCGTCCAAGGAAGACCTATATACCGCGGTTTGACTAATGAGTATACCGACCCTAAGTTTAATGATGTCTCATGGGTCGTATTATAGGTTTTACCAGGGTGCTATTGCGGCACATACCCCAAACCCTAAAATCGGAGCTGCCAAAGGTGAAGGGCTCATCGTTGTCGGCACGCCCGAGACCAATCGGGTCCGTCCCTTGTGAAGCTTTTGCAAGTTGAGGTCTTGTTCTTACAGATCAAATCTGGAAGCTCGAACAGTCGGTATGGCCGTTCCTCAGGGTGCCTTACCATACGCAGCGTATACCCTTTAGGCGGTCTCCCCTAAAGCCTGAGGGATAGAAAGAAACTCGCTTTCCCAGCAAAGAGTCGTCGGGATGTTAACATTCATCCTAGCTGTAGTTTCGAAGTCTTAGAAATTCTTGAGTCCACTACATAGCAACCCTCGGCTTTCAAAGCTGAGGCCCATCCAGCATAGAGCAAGCCCTGAACCGAAGACCCTACGTAATGGGTAGATCTCTAAATTAGGGTACCTTCTTAGGTGCCCAATAGAATACGGCACCCTTATAAAAATGACCCCAAAAAAACCCTAATTTAGAGAACTACCGTAATAGTTCAGCGTAAAGGCTGAGGGCCAAAGATCCCCCAAATTGCATTTTTTTTAGCCGAAGATTGGCTGTCAAAAACCACAGAAGGTTGGGCACTGTGGGACCTCTTGTGGCAAGCCTTCCAGCAGCCCCTGAACCCCAAACCCTAAACCCGAAACCCTATAACTCTAAACCCTAAACCCTAAACTCCTAAACCCCTAAACCCTTAAACCGCCAAACCCTAACCCCTGGCCCCCAGTCTTCAAGTCGAAACCCTCAACGCTAGTCGCTAAACTCTGGGCCCCCAAAGCCCTGAACCCGAAACCCTGGCCTCAAAGCCCCAAAACCCCAACATCCAAAACCCCTCAACCCTAAACCCTACAACCCTAGACCCTGTAACCCTATAACCCCCAACCCTATAATCCTAAACCCTATAATCCTAAACCCTATAACCCTGAAAGGCTCTAGCGGCTCTCCTTCAAGACAACCACGGCAGCAGCCTTGATTTCTTTTTCCGGGATTTTGGAAAGAAGGCTAAGGGTCTAAGGGCTCGGGGTTTAGGTTTGAGATGAAGGCTAGGGTTTGGAGATTAGGTTTAGGATCCTGGTTCAGCGTTTAGGCGTGCTGTAGGGTCGAATTTTTAGTTGCAGGGATTGGTGCCACATCTATAGGGTGTGGAAGTCCGAACATAGCTGCGGCGGAAGCGCTGCGAGGGACCGTCGTGCGGCGATGGAGGGAGCACACGTCAACCCTAAACCGTAAACCGTGAGCCCTCAACCCTAAACCCTAAACCCACTACTGGCGTGAAAGGGCTGCTTCTCCCAAATATCCGCGAGAAAGTGGTCAAGCCGAAAGGTCCAAGCCCTCAAACCCGAAGCCCCACAACGGTCTAGGGTTTAGGGTTTAACCCCAAAGACCCTATACCCTACAGCCAAACCCACAAGCTTCCTTTGAGACTGTCGGCAATGCCGGAAACTTCTTCAGTGGTTATGGAGATTGGGATTTGGGGCTTTAGGGCTTGAGGATTCAAGGAACAGGGGCTTGAAATTTGGCATTGAGCTGAGCAAGGTGTTATGAGGACCTAGGGTTACGGATTTAGCTTAAATCCTATTAACCCCTTATGCGCTATAACCTGAAGCCATTCCTACTCATGTTAGGAGTGGATCGTTGGAGTTTATTGAAGTGCTCCGCAGGCCTGATCAAGCTGTTTGCTTGTAGAGGTCCGGCCCCCCGAGGAGTGTCTTAACGCCTCTGGACGATCGCAGCCATGTCCGGCGGGACAGGGGGGTTGGGGGTTACCCTAAACCCTAAACCCTTAAACCCCAAACCCGAGTCCCTAACAACCTAAACCCTACAGCAAATCCTAAACCCGGAATTTGGCTGGGGAAGGTTTTTTTAAGGGTTACCCGTGGGATCTTGGGTGATAGGTCGCTTTCCTCTAACCCGCCTTACAACATCTATAACTATTAAATCCTAAACCCCGAACCGTGGCTCTGCGTCTATAGCTTACGAAGCCCTCCGATCCTTTAAGCAGGTTCCAGGTTTCGGGGCTTAGGGCTCAGATCTCGGAAGTGGATCCCTTAGGTGGTAGCAGTGACTCAGACACATGGGCAGTTCTCTAAATTGGGGTCGGTTTTAGGGTCCTTTTGATAAGGGTGCCCTACTATATTGGGGCCCAGAAAGGGGACCCTAATCTAGAGAACCCTAAACCCTTAAACCCTAAACCCCTAAACCCTAAACCGTAAACCCACATTATATAGTCACACACCCCATCTACTGGCGGCCCTCAGGTTCGTAGGTTCATTCCGATCTATCCGAAGAGCCCAGTATGCTTTATCTAAAGACTATAGTACCCTACACTTAAGGAATATACTTTACACCACAATATGAAGGCCCCTATATTTCAAGGTATACTTCTTAATTGAGGGGTATTTGGGCTCTCTGGGTACCAGATGTATCAACCGACCTTCGGCAGCGCGGTTTCCATAATCTGTAGCCCTTGCGCAGCTTTATAAACCGCAACAAGAGCCTCCGGAAGCCATTTTCCAGACAGCTCTGGAATTTGTTGGGTTCCACCTTACACCGTCGAGTTTAGGCTGATGTTGAGCGGACCTCAAAAAAGACACCCGCTAAGGGTCTGAAATAAGACGCCGGCCGCACTCACCTGGTTGAGGGAGGGGTTGTTGGATCCGGGGGCGACGTTACACGGCAATCCGCACAGCAGAAACCCTAAGCCTTTAACCCCCAACCTTAAGCCCTGAGCGCGAAACCCCCTCCCCAATTAACCCTGAGCTCTAAGCCACCAAGCCTAATCCAGAGACAGGACCATGGCGAGGCAAGCATCGCTCTCGCCGGCGAGAGCGAGAGCGCACAAGTTCATGGCACCAGACTCGGCCTGGGTTTAGGCTTGAGGGTTTCACACCGAGGGGATATTACAAGGGAACAATCAGGGTTACTTTTTCCGGGGTTCTACAAGGGTTAGTTTGGCAAACCCAATGCCTCTGAGTCCAGGAGCATACTTACAGTAATTGCCGGCCTTTATACTGGGCTCTCTCGGTTCTTGCTAGGGAGCCTAGTGTGTAGGCGGTTGTATGAGCGTAACGACGTTTTACACGGCTTTCTGGTGTTTTCGGACGTTTAGTTTACGTGGCCATACAGATTCTCAGATGAAAGCAGACGAACGTTAATGTATCCTCATTTTGCTGACTCGAGCATGAAATTGTTCAGAGATATTTTTGTTGAGGAGCGCTACTTCTCATTCGAGGCCACAGGCATCTCTGGTCGAGACTCACTGCCGGGGCTGGGAGGCTGTTGGTTGGCGCATCGTAAAGGGTCGTGTAAGCTACTTTCTACTGCCTACACTGCCTGCAATCTTCAGGATCCGACGACGCTATTCGTGGTTGCGGTTTTGGAGAAGTATCCCGGGCACCATCATCCAAGGGCGAAATCGAGCCCGCGAATAAGATCACATCTTCGCCATGTGCTCGTGAGGACGTCCGTCGTTTTTTGTCGTGTGTCTGCTTGTGCGTGTTCGTGTGCGTGTGCGTGTTCGTTTGTGTGCGCGTGTGCCCGTGTCCGATCACGGTATGTGTTCCCTGTAAGATATTGCCTTTGATCGAGGGCTGAACGATATATGTGTGTCTGGTCTGTTGTCTATTGGAGCACTGTTCGAATTAAGGACGAACCCTAAACTCGAACACCAAATGCCCGAATTCCGGAACTGTACGCCCAACTTCCGAACGATGCAGCCGCAAATATCCCAACCCCAACCCCAATGCCCCGAGACCCTTCAACCTAAAGATATCTAGGGCATGAAATACCCGAGGATGTCAATGTGCAGTATATTGGGGACCTAAACAGGGGACCCGAATTTAGAAAACTGCCCATATTGCATCCTTAAGTCCTATAATTCTGTTCACCAACTTGAAGAAGCTCCTTCTAGGAACCTGCTCGGAGCCTTGCACTTACACCCTACATAGAGGATGAGGAGACTCAATATTTAGGGTCAGCCACCCCAAATTGCCCAATATTTCTTTTGACGAAGGAATTTGCCGTACACAATAAGGACGACTATATGACGGTCTACAGCTTGGTACCTATAGTTGTACTTACTTATGACTCCAGGTTAGGTACTGGTAAGTTATAACACCACCAGCAAGTCCCCGTGAGCCTCTAAGGCACTCGGTATGTGGAACCTTATTAGGTTGGTCTTCAGTTTTTAGTTTTGATCTGCTCTTCTTTGTCATGCAATCTCCAAGTGACTTCTCCGCTGGCTCACCTTCTGAGAGGGATAGAGCTCTACTAAGGTGGTCGTGAGCCTAACAACGACGGTCTTCCGCGCTTCCACTAAATCCTAGGATCTCTCTTGCTTTTTCTTCCGGTTCCTTCCTGACCTAAACCCTAAACCCTAAACCGTGCTTAGGGTAGCCATTCTGAGGTCATCATGAGCCTGACCACGGTCTTCCTGTTCTCCGGGACAGTCTTCGGATGGGGTGCCTTCTCCGAGATGATTCAAGCTGCAGCTTGGCTTACGATTACCTTAAACTACCAAAACCTACTGTTTTGTAGGGTCCCTACAAATTCCATATTGGGTTTATAATAAGAACCTACAAAAACGTAGGGTTTGGTAGTTTAAGGTATTGAAGTGAACCCATGTAGTACCCGATCGCCCTTTGCCTTCGTGGCTTCCCCCTTTTTTCTCTGTGGCTTCCCCGAATAAACATTAAACAAAACCACATAGTAGGACAGAGGGCGGGAACCTAGTGTTATAGCTGTTCCCTCTGCTACTTTGTTTTTTTCTTGTCGGGCAGTTTTATGAACTATGAGTTCTACTTCGACCGTTCATATGATCAGTACGATGGCTGCGATTCATCCGCGGTGCCCATTGTAGACAAGTTGTCTGTAGGCTGCAAATGAGCCCAAAGCCCTGACCCTAAACCCTAAGCCCTAAACTCTATAACCCTAAAACCTAACCCTAAACCCTGACCCTACATTCCTAAACCCTAAACCCTAAAACCTCGAACCCTTGAGCCTCAACAGTTCTGCCAGAGGTAGTTTTGGTCAAGCCTAAACCTTAAACCTCAAAAGTTAAGGAGAGTTTAGGTTTAGGGGTTTAGGGTTTTAGGGTTTCAGGCAGTTAAGTGTCACAACGGTAAGCCATTGGCCAGGCATGTTGAGCTTCTGGATTAAAGGTTTTGGGCTTCCCTAAACCCAAATCTACTTAAAGGGTAGTTCTCTAAATTAGGCTTTTTGTTGGGGGGGGAGGGGGTGCCCTTTTAATCTACCTTAAGAATAGTTGGTGCCGTACTGTTTTGGGGACACACTCGAGAACGGAGAGACGAAGCTTCATCTCTAAACCTCCTTCCCCGTAACCCAAAAGCGTAAGCCGCAGCCCCTGGACCCATCCGTGAAGGTAAGCAAGTCATGCAGAAGTCTCAGAAAAATCAGGGATCCTGATGGACCCCCTAGAAAGAACCGGGATCATTCTCTTTTGCCACTCTTTTGCCAGCCCGGCATACTGGCCACCCTGCACCGAAATTGCCGCCGATCCGTAAACCCCAATTCTTGAGCCTATAACCCCAAATAAGTCTTGTCCTAAATCTGGACCCGTAAATCTTAAATCCCATCTCAACCTACAAAATCGCGATGCCTAAACCAAGCTTGCCCAGCCCAGGAAGGCTACTACGACTATCTTTGCACACATCCGGATCCGGCGAAACCATGCACTAAGCAGCTGCAGGCGCTCAACAATGCCTTCACCCTCGTGAACTGGCGGTCATATTGGGGTCGGCGTAAGTAGTCAAAGTATCCCCTTATAGTATAGCCGCCCTTAGTATTACACTGTAATGGACCCCCAAACCCTGTTTGGGTTTGGGGATATGTTGTTTTTAGGTTCGGTTTTTTTTGGTTTGGGGCTTTCGGGCTTCGGGTTCTAGGTTTTTGTGGAACTAGCACCTTTGGTTTGCAGTTATTCTCGAGACACCTGGTGGTGGTGTTCGAGTTTGATCTCAGGGGCTGTACAGGTTAAATGAGCTCATGTTCACATCTTGCGGATTGGTAGATCAAGGCACACCGTCCAAGAGCAAAGAGCATGTAGAATCGATTTAAAGCACCCGTCAGCACATACGGTTGATGATATAAAGCCTGCATTACCCATAGTAAGGAATATACCATAATTCCCGTTGTATAGGCTCCTTAATTAAAGTATTGCAGGATTTTATCTCATAAACAGCAGTTTGCAAGTTGCCGCTTCGGCCTTTCACTGGGGATGCCCTCTGCATGTATGGTTCTGTGTCGCCCGTATGACCCTTGGGAGTTCGAGGCTGGAGTTTGAGATTGAGGCTAATGTGCTTGGAGTTCAGGGTTTAGGGGGCTGTACTGTTGATGATATGAGTCCTGCATTACCTTGCGGACCTCAAACTATGGGAATTATGGTATATTCCTTAATATGGGTAATGCAGGATTTATATCATCAACCGTATGCAGCTTCTAGGCTTTTGGGAATAAACCCTAAACCCTTAACCGTGCCTTAAGAGTTTTGTTTCGCAACGGTGCTCCCGAGAAAAGCAAAGCTTCGTTTTTCCCAATCGGACCTAGAGCAAGGAAAGGAGGAATGTGACCCAACACCCAACCCCAGATGGTAAAGCCCAAGACCAAGAACCTAACGATAACCCTTTCGAAACGTGAACCCCCAAAATCCCTAAAGCTCGCGCTGTAAATATTACACGCTTAAGCCAAAACAATCCTAATACCTGAATGTCAAACCCTTACCTAGGCTGTTATTATGGCTCCGGTTGCTTCCGCCCGATTGACTTGAAGCTGAGGCAACGACGGCAGTGTCCCTTGTGGCCTACTTGAACGGCTGCCCTGCTGTAGTCTATGATTTAGCCAAGGGGGTGTTCAAGGACTTTACGGGGTTCAGGGGTTTTAAGACAGGTGCATTGCTTGATTAACTGCGCATACGTTTAGGTCATATCAGGGGTCCGCAACTTGCTCAAGTGTTGCAGGCTCTGGTTAGTGCTGCGGGTTTTACGGTTCAGGTCGGTCAGGGTGGGGTGGCTGAGGTTTAGTAAGAGCTATCTGGGTTCTAGAAGAGATTGAAAAGACTTTATACGGATTTTGTAAGGATTTTATGGGGCTGCAGGAAATTCTGGCGAGGGTGTATTTGGGGTGTTCTATGGCGACACTGGGTAACATCGGGGGGCCTTGGCTTTAAGGCTTGGGTTTCGGAGCATGCTGGAAGGTTAAAACGAAGCTGGGAGTGTCATCAAACAAAAACCACCCACACCCCAAGCCCTAAACCGGCCGGATCTGAACATGAAATCCAGAGCCCTACAGCTGAGGTTGGCTTGTGGATTCCCTTGGCCCGACAAAGGTCACCATCATTGCAGGACGGGAGCCCCAGAACCCTTAATTAATAGGAGTATAGGGTTTAGGGTTTAGGGTACCGTTAATTCAGAGTAGTATAGGGTTAAGGGTTTAGGGCACCGTCAATAAAGAGTAGAAAAAGATTAAGGCTTTAGGGCACCGTCAATTAAGAGTAGTATAGGGTTTAGGGTTTAGGGTACCGTCAATTGAGAGTAGTATAGGGGCCTGAATAAGCATAATGGGTGTTTGTGCCTGTTTATCGTCGTAATTGATATGAAATACAGAAGGAGCAACATGTTGGAGACGGGATACTCGACCGGGATATTTCTCTCCGTATATCGGTTTCCATTGTCATGTGTAGGATCCTAGAGACTGAAACCCTGAGTTCGTCATTCAAGGGATATTGAGGAGGTGCCCTGCAGACGACAGTAGCCCATCTAATCCTGAATCGCAACACCGTGCACCATAGCCCTCACAACACGGAGCCACAAATTCCCATGACCCAAAACCCTACAGCCCCAAAATGCCAAGACCCTAAACCCTAAACCCCTAACCCCTAACCCCTAAACTCCTAAACCCTAAACCCCCTATAATCTAAACCCCTAAACCCTAAACCCTAAAGCCCCAAACCCCAAGACCCGAAGCCCTAAAGCCCCAACCATCCTCTAGAGCTCAAAGGCAGAGCCCAGCTCCGAACATTGGCACAAACCGAAGCTGCCTTATGGGTTTACGGTTTAGGGTTTAGATCATGGGAAGTTTAGGGCTTAGGGTTTAGATCATAGGGGTTTAGGGTTTTGGGTTTAGATCTTTAGGGTTTAGGGTTTAGATTATAGGGGGTTTAGGGTTTAGGGTGTAGATTACGGGGGTTTAGAGTTTAGATCATGGGGTGTTTAGGGTTTACGGTTTACGGTTTAGGTTTTGGATCATGGGGGGGTTTAGGGTTTAGGGTTTAAATCATGGGGGGGTTCTGGGTTTAGGGTTTAGATCATGGTGGGTTTAGAGTTTAGGGTTTAGTTCATGAGGGGTTTAGTGTTTACGGTTTAGGGTTTAGATCATGGGGCGTTTAGGGTTTAGGGTTTAGATCATGGGGGAGTTTAGGGTTTACGGTTCAGGGTTTAGATCATGGGGGCTTTAGGGTTTACGGTTTAGGGTTTAGATCATGGTGGGTTCAGGGTTTAGGGTTTAGATCATGGGGGGTTTAGGGTTTAGGGGGTTTAGGGTTTACGGTTTGCGGTTTAGGGTTTAGATCATGGGGGGTTTCGGGTTTAGGGTTTAGATCATGGGGGGTTCTGGGTTTACGGTTTAGGGTTTAGATCATGGGGTGTTTCGGGTTTAGGGTTTAGGGTTTACGGTTTGGGGCTTAGATCTTGGGGGCTTACGGTTTAGGGTTTAGATCATGGGGTGTTTAGGGCTTAGGGTTTAGGTCATGGGACGTAGTGAGTAAGGGTATGAGCACCCCAGGTAGGATTGTACAAAGCTAAAGTATGGGTTGCCTTGTGTACAACACCAGTTACAAAGTCCCGTGGACCTTTAAGTAGTGAGGCTCGAAACCTCATTCAAAAGCTCTCAACCCCGACCTTACTTTTAGGGTTTGGAGTTTAGGGTTTGGACGAAAAGACAGACACAGCCGAACAATAACCCTAAGCTCCAAGACCCCGCGAAGCCCCAAGCCTATGTACAGCACACTAAAACCCTAAGGCCTTAGAATCTCAAAACCTCAAAATCCCATCTCTTGAAGGAATCCTGGCCTCCGTGGGACTCATGGGCATCGCCCTAACGAAGACAGGCAGCTGGTCGAAACAGGAGGCCATGACGGGTGAGTGTTTGTCTCTGTCTCTCTCTCTCTGTGTGTGTGTGTGTGTTTTGTGTTGTTGTTGGGGTGTGGGAGGGGGTGGGGGTGGGGCGGGTCAGGGATAGCACTTTGCCCATGTAGGGTTTTGTTAGGATGTAGGGTTTTGGTAGTTTAGGGCTTCGTGTGGAGGGTTTGGGGTTGAACGGCACGGTTTTCTCACGCCCGCACAGATGTCGATGATGGTGATATTGAGCACCGCGGCAACATCGCCGTTTCTGAGGAGGATGCCGGCCCCCAGAACCGATGCCGGCATCGCCCGATGGTCCTTGAGCCACATGCGTCGTGCTGGTGAGATGCACCCTAGACCCTAAACCGGTTGGTATCCCTCAGCCACAACCATGGGTTTCTCCAAGCTAGTTCTTCTTATGATGCTGTTGCAGGGTTCGGCATTGCTGGGCTCTGGCTTCGGTGTCCTTAAACCCTAACCCCTAAACCCCCAAGCCTCATTCTTCATCGGAAAAATCGTTGTGGCTCCCTTGAAAGCGCTGCCCCAAAAAGCTTACACCTGGGGACCTAAACCCCGAGCACCTTAAATTGTTAAAAAGTCACAAAACCGTAACCCCTAAACCCGGAAAGCCTACAGCACTAAGACCCTTTTTCCGGACACTTCTTGATAACTATGGGTCCTTCATGATCCATAACGAAGTTGTTGCTTGTGGAACAACTCCTATCATTCACCTATAGCTTTCGTTTTCATCGTGTAGCATTACGCTAGCCGGGGATTCCTGAGGTCGTGGAACTATCTCGAACTGGATGAGGGCTCTCCAGGTTTTGTACAATAACTTCGGGGCTTATTGGCTCGTTTGTTTACTAGCCTTTTTTGGAGGATTGAAAGGTGCATTCCATCAGACTACTGTGCTATTTCGTGGTTTAGCATCTTCGATCGTTTGGACGGTTTGGCCTGGGTTAAGGTTTTTACGATTTACAATGATCAGGCTCCCTGGTCCACAAATTGCTCTGCATAGAACCTGCTTAGTGCATCCACTGATCCTCTCAGCAGGCACATGTAAGGAGCTGACTTTGGGCCGTTAAACTCTTCTGAGTGGTACGACGACGACATTTGTTGCTATGATCGCTTTCGTCATTTCCCGGCTGTACCTGGGTCAAAGGATGCTTGTTGGCACAAGAACCTCTGCCATGCATGTTTCAATTCTGATTATTGTTTTAGATGGAACATATTTGCTATCGGAACCGTTCTGAGCTCCTTCAAGATCGTGGTTCTATGTTGACCAATGGTCCTGCCATTACCTCTTATTATGTTCTGTATGTGCTTCCGAACCCTAAACTTTAACCCTGTGGCAGGCAGAGGGTGGTTTCGACATCTTCCTTTGGTCAACGGTGCTTACAGCCGTCGGCGGGTCCATGACAATGCCCCTTGCTCAGGGTTCACTAGTCGTAACGGTAACGCTGGCTTTTGGTATCATGCGTAGTTACAAGCATAGCAGTGCAGTGACAGCATGTAATGGTATTTGTTCTTTATAAACCCCCAGTTCTAAACCCTGAGTCCTGAGAGAATGGAGGGTCTGGGCCTTTGCCTTCAGGCGGATTTGCGGCCGAGCCTAAATCCCTATGAGCCTTGTATAACGTCTAAATCTGAGCCTCTCATGTCAAAGCCCAAGAACTGCTTAAAACTAACACGGCACGGAGTTTTTTGTAGGTTTATAATGCAAACCCTTTTAGAGCCATTTTAAGAGGGGGTTGAATTGGGATCCTAGTATTAAGGCACTTCAAGGGATGGGGTTTATCAACCAAAAGCCTGCCAGACTGAAGTTCTTTGAGCTGTTTCTCTGAGGTTTATCGGCTATCAAGCGCCATTCATCGTTCCTTCAAGCACCTTGCCCGCAGAACAGCTTGGAGTTAGGGTTCCGGCCTTAGGGTTCAGAATTCAGGGTTTCCCTTTTTGGGTTTATAGTAGTTTATAGTTGTCTGAGGTAGTTGTCAAAACACTCATATGTTCAGGCTTTCCGGCCCAAATTTGCCAAAGACTATACTCTGTTTCTTTGCTTACGAGTTTTAAGAGTATGCTCAAGATTGCGGACTCCCTTTCTCGCCTGGGGCTTGCCCTCAGCCCATTTTCCTAAAACCCCCAAGCCTTTGCCCAAAACCCGACCCTCGAAACCCCAACCCGGAATCCGCAGGTCGAAGCCCCAAACGCGGAAGTCACTCTCATATTGCCGTTGCAGAAAATTTCTTAGTGACCTTGACAGGATGCCCTGTACCGTCTGAGCCTAGCGCTGACCGAGGCTTCACGCTCTTGATTGAAGTGAACAGCTGCCTCTTCGATGCCGGCACCATCATCTTCCCACTGCTCAAAGTGTTGTACGACTCTTCGGCGGCACCTGGGAGCTTTCAGTGTTCAAGCAGGGGATCCGGAACTCTACCGTAAAGACTTGGGGTCGCGAGCTTCTGGCTGTCGCGACTGTTGCGCTTATGCAGCCGCAGGTGGCTATGCAGGAGGGCAAGTGGATAGTTAGGTGGGCAGCGGTGCGGTCGTGCCGCATCTATGTGTTAATGCCTCCACGCACGTACACATGTATGATGCCCGCATGCTTGCCTTGACCTCTTGGTCCCGTCGTGTATCTCTTTGCTGCAGTGTTCGAGTCTCAGGAAGTTGGGGAAAAGAACCGTATCCGTTAAATCGTATAGGATGCTTGTAATAAGGGACCCTAGCCTTACGAGCATCCAACACTGTTGACCCTGAGATCCAAAGAAGAGTAGGTGTTGTAGAGCTTGGCAGTCCCCCCTTTTACACTCTAAATATAGGGTCGGAAGATGTGGTAATCAAATCGTAATGTCGGGGTCGGAATAGTTACTAAAAGTAACAGTGGCCCCTCTCACTCTCTGTTCATTTTCGTTGCTCAGACATCTGTCGGCAATACCCCCAAAACCCTATGCTAATTATTAATTGATTATCGAGACCCGTTATATAGGCCCGTATGACTCCCGATAAAGGCCTAGAGAGACCTCCAAATGTTGAGGCCCCTATATGCGTGAAGGGTTTAGAATCTCCTTGGGACCGCGGTTTAGGGTTCAGGGTTTAGGAAGTTTAGGGTTTAGGGTTTAGGGTTATAGGGTTTAGGGTTTAGGGTTATAGTGTTTAGGGTTTAGGGTTTAGGGGGGGGGTGTTGGCAGCGAGGCTGCTGCGAGTGCAGGGTGTTGGATGGTGGGTGATGTAGCATGAAGCAAGCGCCCTAATCCCCAAATTTTGTCCATGGGGAAACCTAACTGGATGAATTACCACTACTACTTCTACGGTTGCTTCATGTAACTATACTAGAATATACCCCCCCAAGCCGTCTACAACCACAGCGCTTACTTTTCTTGGCGCTTTAGGGTGCTGGCTCAGGATCTCAATCTTCCCTCACCTTCACTACAAGGGTGTGACTGATTTGTTAGTTAACGGTTGGTCCCTTCATCGTCATACTATGATAGAATCTTGAACCCAATTAGATAAGAGTTATCAGGGCCCCTATTCTTGAACTACACCTACGGCCTCCTGTAGGATTTGGGTGCCTAAAGGCTTAAAGGGGCTCCCTAGGTAGAAGCACCTGTTTGATTCTCGAAGACTTGGCTGTACTGCTACTACCGCTGCTACTGCTACTGCTGCGGTTGCTGCTGCTTCCACGACTAGTGCTACACCTGCCGGTCTCAGACCCCAAGAACCTCAAGCCCTATAGCCAACTGGCAGGACCCTCGGATTGAACGCTTAAAATCCCAAGGACTTGGGTGTACCTTTCAGCGCATTCTTTTGGGCATACACGGTGCTGGGATTCATCTGCTATTCGCTCTTCTCAATCTCCTGGGGCATGAACCAGATGCTCGGCTCTCTTCATATAGGGCTTAGGGCTTAGGGCTTAGGGTTTAGGGTGCAGGGTTCAGGGTTTAGGCTGTCGAGCTCTGAACTTGCAAGGTTTTAAACTGCTTCCATGGGGTTTCATAGCGTGAAATGGTTTCAGCCCATGCGAAGCTCTAAACCGTGAGCACTGAACTGAAGCCGGCCGTACGTCCCCATAGTGGATTAGCCAGCTTCGAGGATAGTTGTAGGTTGCTCCTGCAGGGCAATGGCGCACCATTTTCTTGTCTGTGACATCTTCAGGGTTCCCAGATTTTGGGGATTGAGGGCTGAGGGGTCTGGGCTGACAGTTTAGGATTTATATGGATGATGACTTACCAATTTTGGGCCACAGGGTATTTAAACAGCATGTCTGACAGCAGCCGCAACCACAGTGGCATGTGGGCTGCACGTTGGCCAGCCTTGGCGTGTCGAAACGGACAGTGATCTGTGACGGCCAAGGGGCATTCCACCAGGTTCTTGAAACCACGAAAGTCCCAACCTCCTAAACTCTGTAACTCCCCAACCCTGAAACCAGAACAACCAGAAACTCTCAAATCCGAAAAGCCCATCTCCGCTACGAGGTGAGTTGCTGCAACCAGGTCACCTTGAGCAACACACATGAAGCTAAAATTGACCCCCGCATTGAAGGAAGGAGCTTGACGAAATCCGCGCTGCTGCAGGCACCTGGACCTTAAAAAGAGCTGCGCTTTGTTGGAGTGTCCGATACAGTTCTTTTAAAGTTCGTTTAGGCGGCCATCATTCGCGAGATTCTTTTAGTTCGGAAGCTATAATACTACAATACCTAGCCCTACCTCCAAAGTGAAGTTCCTTAGATTCAGAACAGAAGGTAAACCCGAAGCTCCCAAACAATACACCCCATGAGTCCCTGCTACAGTACTTTTCTTTTTTGTTCCAGGGTCTGCTCTATCATCCTTCCTGCAAGGTATAGAACTGTTGTGACAAAGCCCTTCTGGTCTAGGGCCTAGACGATTACCAACAGTATGCCATGGGGCTCCTCAATATACTTATCAGATAATATGCACCAAAACCTTAGTCTAGTTTTGCATGTCCCTGTACATGCGGCCTCATTGTGATGAAAGATTAAATCAATATGAGAAGATTAAGCCTAAGCCCTAAACCTTAGTCTTATACTTGGGGTTTAGGGTTTAGGATGATCTATAGCCACTCTAATGTGGATTTGCGGGAAGTAATTGTCCTAAATTCTTTGACCCCACGCCCCTGTGCCCTACAACTGGCCTACCCTAAACCCCAAATCCTCTACAGCATAAATCATAAGCAACCGTAGCGGGGCAACCAAGGGGGACTGACGAGGCGTTCTTAGGGCTATTAAAGCCCCCTACCCAGGCCCCCCACCCCGACCCCCAAAGCCAAACCCGCAATGCTAAACCTTGATAAGGCGTCGTCAACGTGATCCCCAACCCTCTCAACTACAAAACGCCATCGGACCCTTATACATGGTTATCGACAAAAGTCTGTACGATGAGATGGCCTCTGCAGGTGGCGACGAACATGAAGGGCCCGAGCACAATCGCCCTCTGGAGCCTCGAAACTGTCAAAGAGGGTAATCAGGAAGTTAAGCCTAAATAGTTACCAGTATGATTGCTTAGGGTTCCTGACGAAACAATATACGATAAGGAAGCCCAAAAACCCTATTCTAATTATTAAGGCCGCTGCGTTTCGAAGTTTGAAGGGGTAGGGATGGGGCCTGGAAATTGTTTTGGAGGGGACGAAGTTTTAGGGGATGTGTTAGGCTTTTACAGGATGTCTAGGGTTTTGTTTGTTGTCTTCTTTCTGGGCACCGTAGAATATGTGGGACATCACAAGCATTATGGAACGGGATGCATATTCGTTCATTACGGTTACAACGCCGTAGACTGTCCCCAATGTTAATCAGGTCAGTGTGAACCCTGATCACAAGTTGGAAAGCCTAGCTAAATTTATATACTACGGATTCAAGAACGCATCAACAGTCAGCCCCGCCCTGCAGGTAGATAGTTGTCGGTAAGTGCCTACGACTTCAGATGCAGACCTTGCCTTGAGTTGAGGCTTAACACCTATACCTCGGGGTTCCATATCGTAAGTACTGTATAACATACCCCAAATCCTATGCCAATGATTGCAACTCACCTACCCTAAACCCTAAACCCTAGCTACACATTCTTGGGTGCGACAGGCCTTGCGGAGATCCTCGTTGCTCCTTCAAGCGAAACTCTGGAATCCTAAAGCCTGAGAACAGCTGAAGCCCGAAAGCCCCCCAAAACCGTGAAAGCACAGAGCTCGCAGAGCCATGACCCCCAAAACTCTCCCATATCCTGAAGCCCTAAAGACCCCCAAAGATGGAGTCCCGAAAAGATGAAGTAGCATTTGAGCCAAGTGGCTTTGGTGGTCTTCCGTTCGGTTTTTGGGAGACTCTACGCATTGGTTTTGAAACTCACTGTTTCAATAGGTTTAGGGCTTGGGGGCTTCTAGGTTTGCGGTATGGCTTTCAGGCGTTTCGATTTGGGATTAGCGCCCAGGTTGCTGAGGGTGCAATCAACCCAAGACCCTGCATCCTAAACCCTGTAACACAGGGGTCAGAAAAATTAGTATTATTTCAGGGTTTTGGTTTTAGGGTACTCTGCAGGAGGCTACCTCAGTCTTTTTGTTCCGGCTATAGTATAAAAAATCCCACATCTCCGTTCGAATTACGAAGCACCTCGCAAAGGAGCCTAGAAGCCTTAATGACTTAATGTCCTAAATCCCTGAACCCCCAAATCCCTAACACTAAGCCCTAAACCCTAAAAGCCCTAAACCCCAAGCCCGAAACCCTAAGCCCAAAACCTTGAACCCTAAACCCTAAGCCCTAAGCCCCAAGAGCCCCACGCCTAAAGTGAAGCTCTCACTCCACGGATCTTCCAGGAACAGCGAAGCTTTATGTCCCAGCTGAGGAGCTACTGGGTCCGAGTTCCGGAAAAGTAATCCAGGGGCCTAGGGTTTAGGGTGTAGGGGTCTTGGTAAATAATTCGCGCCACGCCGATCCAGCGCCCAGACTTCATTGAACAGAGAGTGTGAATAGCCAGGAGCGAATCACGATTTACGTGGCAGGCGCAAGAGATTCGGTACTTCGAAGTATGACAGCCGCTTCATGTCAACACACGCGCTTGCGTCCCAAAATTTCGAAATTTTGGGACGCAGGTTCTTGCAGGAGACTTGGCAGGTTTATTGTCCAAGGCCTCAGATTCAGCGGAGTTAAGAGTCCAAATATGAACTTTTTTCTACGAGAAAAGGCTCGTTTTCAGGGATTCTACTGCTAATCTGAGGCGACGCGCCAGTGTCAGTAGAAAACACGCAAGTACAGGACAACTCAGGACAACCCGTTTTTGCCGGCTGAAACGCGTTTGAGCCGGCAAAAATGGGTTGTCGCGCACTTGCATGCTTTTTTACAGCTTAGTACACGACGTACTGTCGCAGAACATGCATAGGCTAGCACGGCACTACACGGACGAAACTGCACATATTGTTTTGAAGGATGCAGAGGATATAGCGGTGCACTACAAAAACCCTCCCTGAAAGACACAGGCTTTTGTGGACGCAAGGCTCCGTGTCACTTGGCCTGCCGGAGCCACAGTGGCAAAGTGTCTTCTTGGAAGAACTGCGAAAAGCGGAAGAAAAGAAAGCATGCAACAAGAACGTCTCTTGCCAAGAACGTCATTACCCCCCCCTCCCCCCCTCCCCCCCTTCCCACGTCGGAAGAAGACAAGGAAGAGAAGAAACGAAAAGTGCAACAAGAACGTCTCTTAAGAACGTCATTAGCCCCCGGGGAGGGGGTGGGGCTAACGACGTTCTTGTGCCAAGAAACGTTCTTGTTGCATGCTTTCTTTTCTTCCGCTTTTCGTTTCTTCTCTTCCTTGTCTTCTTCCGGCGTGGGAAGGGGGGGAGGTGGGGAGGGGCGGGGAGGCGGGGGCCTGCTCCCCCCCTCCCGCCCGATCTGGGCGCTGGACCGACGCGGAGCGTAATAAGAATAGGGTTTCGGGGTAGATTTTGTAGGAAAAATCATAGCAATAGAATAGTATAGTATTGGTAGTTATTTAGGTTTCTATAGTAGGCTTGTGAGATAATTGCGAGCTTTCCGGTTACAGCCCGAACCCCAACTCCTGATCCTACAGCTTCCTGGAAGACTCCACCCCCTAAGTTCAGCCTGTTAAATCCAGGAACAGTAAAACCCAAAACCATAAGCCCAAAATCCAAAACCCACCCCAAACCCTAAACCCGAAACCCTAAGCCCTAAACCCAAAGGTCCCACCAACCCGGCAGCAGCACCCTGAACCCCAGCTCAAGCTTCCTAGCCCGGAGAAACTCCAACCCTCAACGCCGAGAAGCATTTACAAGTACATACGGTTGATGATACAAACCCGGCATCACCCATAATCAGGAATATACCAAAATTCCCGTAGTTTAAGGCCCTTAAAGTAATGCAGGATTTATATCATCAACTGTATCACGAACCATTCTCAACATCTGCCCTATAAATCCTGAACACCCCTGAGCCCAAAAACTGGAAAGCCCTGAGAAAGCCCCTCAGCCCTCGAGCCGAAAGCGTAAAGCTTCAAGCTAAGGGACTCCCCTCCACCACCCAACTAGGAACCCCCGCCCCCCTTTTTAAGGGCCCTTTAAGAGATCCCTTATATATGGTCCCGATGATGGTGTGTACACAAGGTAAGGGTAGTTGGGGGGTTCTGGGTAAAGTCTAAGCCCGCAACGTTCTCAGGCTTCGAGTTCGTCTCGATTTTCATCTACAGCATCATCATGGTCCCCCGGGCCAACATGCTCCCTGGGAGAGTTTCAGTGGCCAGGGTCTAGGCTTTTGATGGTTCAGGGCCTTTAGAGGGTTTTAGGTTTTATGTTTGAGGGTTAGGGCTTTAGGGGTCCATGGCTTTAGCGTCTGGGCTTTTGGGTTCAAGGCCTTCGGGAGTAGGGTTTATGAGGTTTAGAGCTTTCTGAGCCTAGGTCTAAGTCTAAGGCACTTTGGTTTTGGGCTCATTTCAGGTCCAGGAGGTGGTCTGCGGAGTCTTTTTGGCGGGTTCGCTGGACACCAAGGGTGGGTTAGCTTCCGCATGACCTCCCACAGTCAGAAACCCAACCTGTGCCTTCATTTTTGCCGTGCAGAAAAGCAGTAATCTCAAAGCCACAAAAGCCGACCCTCCCTCCCGGCACTGACCAAGACCCTGCAAGAGTGGTGACGGCCCAGGTACATGGGCACTTTCTCCATGATCAATCGCCGCTTTGGCGCAGGAAAGTTTTAGGAAACCCCGTGGCTTTGAGACCTGTGTCAGAGGTCCGAAAATATAGGGTTTAGGGTTTAGGGTTTAACTAGGGTTTAGTAGGGGCGATCAGCAGCAATATCACATAACCATCGTCCACTACATTCCGTATTGACATAACCCCCCAAACCCTAGCCTATACTACTTCCTAAGCCCCCTGTATTGTTCTCCTGGAGAGGGCATGGGTGCCTACCAAAGCCTGAAGCACTACACTGCATGAGCTTAGCTAGTATACCGCCAAAGCTCTTCAGTTAGTAGTGGAGCAGGCAATCTTGAAACCTTTTGGGGTACTATATATATATATATATTTTTGGAACCGCTTCAGTTCCCTAGGTTGCTGGATAAAGGAATCTGGGGTTGCAACAATTACCAATACCGTCCCTTAGGGTTCCCTGTTGTGCTACAGTCTACTATAGTATACTCTGGTAGAATGTACCCCCCAAAGCCTTCTTCTGATTATTAAGGCCTCCTTTTTTATGAAAAACCCGGCAGGCTCCAGGTTCCTTATGCCGCCCCACGAAGCATCCTTGGAGACGTTTTCGGCTTGCATTCTTGAGCCCTGAACCCAAAAACCGAAGTCCTCAAGCCCTCAAGCCGTATGAACCCCTAAGCCCTAAACCCCTAAACCCTAAAGCTCTTTGATGTTTCGGCATCCAGTGTCCGATGGGTCCTAGCCAAGCAATATCCTGGGGAGGGTCCGAAGTGTCCAACCCTTCGTGTGTTTAGGTTTGCGGGTGCAAGGCTCGGGGTGGGTTTCGGGGTTTAGGGTTCAGGCTTTAGGGGTTTGGGGCTTCGGCAAGGGTCATCCCTAAACGCTAAACCCTAGACCCTAGACATGTAATGCACGAAAGCCCCAAAGAAGTGTCGGCTCTTAGGAAAAATCGCGGAGGGCGAAGGCACAATGTCCAGCCTCAACCTTGTGAACACCATTACAGGCCTGCTGCTTGGGTTTTGGGTTTGGAGTTTCCGGTGCATTTTCACAGCTCCACCTCCCCTTCCCCAACATGTGGCTACATCATGTCGGTCGGCATGAGACCTCCGTGAGTCAGGATGCAACCCAACTGATAACCAGTATCTTCATCGCCCGCCCCGCCAATCAAACTACATGATGTAATCTTGACATGGTTATGCATCACAAGCACTACCCACCTCCATCTTATCACCCGGTCTAACCACACAAGCTGAGTCATATGCAAAGCTTAGAGAGGCACCCAAATCCTTCGGCAGCTGTAGTTGAAGTTAAGAGCAAAAGTGGCTAGACTAGATGCCGGGTTCTCAATCACCCCCGAGCGCGTAGATCACATGTTCATGTCATGCCACGTTACCTGAACACTATAACAACACTATATCTTTGTTTTAATTCGAGGGTGGTGAACATGTGGGAAGCGGCCGTTGTGGGGGGTTTTGGGGTTATAGGGCTATGGGGTGGTAACCCCTTTAAACGGCTCCTTTAGAGGGGCCTTTTAAGGGATCTATAAATAAAGGTTTTTCTAAGGGATTTAGGGTTCAGGGCTGGAGGGCTGTGGGGTTTTTAGGGTTACAGGGTTCAGGCCTCTAGGGCTTTGGGGCTTAGGGTTATCGGGTCCAGGGCTCTGGGCTTAGGCTTTGCTGTTTAAGTTTTCGGGTTGTCGGGCTTATAAGCGTTAGGGCGCGCAGATGAGATTTTCCTTAGGATTACGGCGCTTTCGCTGTCCGGGAGACATGCTGCAAGGTTTCATCTGAGCTAGAATCAAAATTAAATTAGGGACACGCGGACAGTCTCAACGTAGATGGCCCCAATCTTACGGATTCATGGCCTTCTGTATCCTCTTGAATATATTGTTGACAGTAGCTTATACAACCCACTAATTAACAGGACAGGGTCTTTATTGTGGGTAATTGCTCTTCTCGAACCTCGTACTCTTAATCTCTCTATGGACAAGAATACGTAATTGAAATGACGATTCTACGGTTGTTACCCACAATAAAGGAATACAGTATACCAAAATTCCCATTGTTTAGGGTTCTCAAGGTAATGCAGGATTTGTATCATCAACTGTATGTGCCCTTAAATATTCCACAACCCATAAAGCCTGCAGGCCTAACCCGCCCTGTAGGCTTCGTGATTCCATTCGGTTTCGTTGCTGTGCCGCTGATCGAGCTGTGCATGCACAGGCCACTGCACGTTTTGCTGTTGTTTTCAGTCTTGGGCTTTTTTGGTTGATAGCCTTGTGGGGTTTGGGGCTTTAGCTTTGGGGTTTGGGACTGAGGCTGAGGGTTCGTTAGAGGGAGGGTTAATGAGGGCCTCAATGATGCTCAAGGTTCAGAGATGGCTTTGTTGATTGTGTTTCGGGGTTCAGGGTTTACAGACGTAATGGAAGTTTGACGTAGGGGCTCCGACATTTCGCACGTGGACCCTGACTAAAATTATCCAGCAATTCAGGTGATGTGTGCGTGCAGATAGGTGGCCAGCTTGAGGCCGCGTAGTCCGGCAGTCATTTCAGGCGGTGCCAGCACGGAACGAACTCCTAAGTTCCTAAATCCTTAACCCCAGATCATGGGTTCAGCGAATTGGTGGTCAGAGTTTCGGGTTTAGCATTCAGGGTTTAGGGTGGTGCCAGCTCCACCTGACTGCAAGTTCAACCGGCGAAGTCACTGCTTGCTGCACCAGGCTCGGCACGTTGTGGACAGTGCAGCTGACAACTCTGATTGGTGCTTCTTGGCCTGCACTGGCAGCATTGATGATGAAGATGAGGAGGAAGACAAAGATGATGACGATGATGATGATGGTGACGATGATGGTGGTGGTGATGAGGGTGACGATGACGACGACGAAGATGAAGACACGATGATTATGATGATGGTGATGATGATGATGCTGTTGGGTACAAGCTAGACAACTGACTCGAAGATGTAGAGCTTTAAAGGTCAGTCTTGGCATCCGGAGATCCTAACCACATCATCATCGTCGGCATCATCGGCACCATCAACATTATTCAACATCATCAACGTCATCTTCATCACGTTTATCATGTGTCATCCTCATCATCATGGTAATGATCATCACCATCACCACCGTCATCATAACTCTTTTCTTCATGAGTGAAATCGACATCATCATCTTTTTCTTCACGTATGATGAGGACTGGGACCGTTGACGATAATCCTCATCCTGCCAGGAGTCAGCTTTACACCCCAGCTTCTGTCTATCTTCAGTATCTGGTTCACCGCCGTAAGATCATGTTTTCGTCAGCTCTTAGACAGTCCATCACGATGAAGCCTAAGTCCTCAACCCCTCAATTCTCAAGTCTAAGCCTTGATCCTCTAAAAGCCGTGACCCAGAGCCCAAAAGCTCGCTCTCTCGGTGTTTTGCCTAGGCTCTCGGTGGTTTTCGGATCAAGAGTTCTGGGGTTCAGGGCTTTGACCCGCAAGCCCTGAACCCAAAAGGTCGTCTACAATCTTCTGCAGCTGGTGCCCAGCCTTCACCTACAGCTGGTGTCGGTGGTGATCTTCGCGGCTTGGAGAGCCTTCCTCTACAGCTCCTGGTATGCACTTGGGCTCTGGGCGCTATGTTGGCAAAACCGTAAGCCAACTCTGAGGGTTGTGCGACTTCGTCCAAAACCCCAAGAATTGTTTATCCTGAACCCCGTAAACCCGAGACGAAAGCGCTAAACTTATACACTGAACCCCAAGCCCCTAAAGATTCAGAAAGGCTACTACACGAAAAAAAACATGCCTAACTCGTGAGGCACCATCAGTGCTTTCAACGGAGAGATCTTCGGGGTGAAGACCATGGGCCGAATCATGGGACTCTGCTTTGTACCCCGTCTGAGCACGACGGTGGGTAGGGTTCATGGTTGATAGGGTTTAGGGTTTAGGGTTTGGGTCGACGGTGAGTTGTCCATGGTTAATAGGGTTTAGGGTCTCTGCCTTGTACCTCGTCTGAGCACGACCGTGGTGGTGATGATTGTTTCTGCGGGTTTCGGGTTGTTTTCCTCGTCTGGGCACGACTCCCCCTTGCTTAGGAATCCAAGGATTACGTTTACCAACAGGGTGAAAGGGTTGTTCCAGCCAATCTCGGTTTAACGGGCAGCTAGATGCTAGGGATTCGATGCGAGGTTTGAGGTTTCCGGCTTGGAACTCTTGTCCGGGTTTGGTTCTTAGGATTTGGGTGGTTTCAGGTAACTAAACGGACCCGAACAGCCCCCCTTAGGAGAAGTAACTGCAGATCACAAGATGGCAGCTCGGTTTCTCGGTAGCCTCTGCATCACGGATGCAAACCCCACATCCGGCCCCCTAAAGCCCAAAACTGTGTAGTTTAGTGTAGGTGGGGTGTGCAAAAACCCAACCTCTAACACTACACACCAAACCTCAAACCCCAGAATCTATACACGTGTTTTAATGAACCAGCTAAAGGATCCCCAAAAAGGAGCCCTCAAAGACATGAAACCCCCTGGGAGGTCTTCTCGGGGCTCACGAACTCCAAGCCGTAATGCCCAGACTCATTGGGCCCTCCTGACGGCGAAACCCTACAACCGAATCCCTTTGACCGATTGTGCTACAGAAAACCCATGAACTTAGAGGGTCGGGTGACTTGGTGACTAGTGTGTTCATAGAGTTAAAAAGCCATAACCGCAACTCTCACCCTGCTTCGGGCACTTATACCTCTACCAAGGCCGCCGACCCTCCAAGTACAAGAGGCCTCAAGGAAACCGCTGATCACCCTAAACCCTATAAACCTTCCAAACCCACAAAACCCTCTTAAACCCTCTAAGCCCTGTAAGCCCTCTAAACCCTCTAAACCCTCTTTGTAGGTCTTCTCCGGGCTCACGAACATGGCCACCGGGCCGCTGGTAAATGCGGCAGTGGACTCTGGGGACTTCACACGCCTGCTGATCGAGGACACAACTCAGACATACATAACTGTGAAAGAGGTACTTAAAGTATTCTTGTGGTTGTGTATATATGAATTACGTATGTGTGTATGTATGCATATATATATAATATAATAATATTCATAATAATATGTATATATACATACATTGCATTGTGCAAACTGAAATCGGCACGTCGTGGAGGGATACAAACTGGGCTAATTTTCTCTCCGCTTCCCACCCTGGACCCATACGCTTGATGGTATAAATTACCCATAATAAGGAATGTACCATAATTCCCATAGTTTGGGGTCCTTAAGGTAATGCAGGATTTTTGTATGTCCTCCCCCTGTCCGTCCACAAAGCGCCATGAAACTCAGTCGAAGTAACCGCAAAGCTGTCCCTGAACCCAAAACCCCAAGACCCTAAACCCCTAAAACCTGTGCCACCCCGCAGACGTTGTTGACAGGACCTGGTAATTACCATCCCCTTGCCCATCCTCTTCTACGTCCTCCAGAGGCTGGGTCTGGGCAGATTTCGGGGACTTTGAGACCACCCAAAGCCCTGTATACGCTGTAAACTTCAAAGGGTAACCCTGAATCTGAGGTCTCCGAAGCTACAAAGTAAAGTCTTTGAGTTTGGGGGGGTGGTCAGGGGGTGTGACCTGGGACTAGGGATGTCCTGGGCTGAGCTCAGGAGTTGTATGATTCCCACCTCCTCCCGTATCAGCCCTGTAAAACTCAGGTTCCTCTTGCCAGCAGATACCTATACCTATATTATAACTACACCGACCTAGACATGTGCATCGGACACACACATCTACATCTATGTCTGTATCAATCTCTATGTCAATGTCTAGCTCTATCTCTATCGCTTGCTCTATTTGTATCTTCATCTCTATGTCTATCTCTCTTCGTCTCTGTCTCTCTCTCTCTCTCTCTCACTCTCTCTCTCTCACTCACTCACTCTCTCTCTCTCTCTCTCTCTCTCGTGCTCTTTTGCTATCTGTCTCTCCGTCTTTGTCACAGTCCCTCTCCATCTACCTATCTATCTATCTATCTATCTATCCATCTATCTCGCTATCTGTCTCTCTACCTATCTACCTATCTGTCTATCTGTCTCTCTGTCCATCTGGTTATATGTCAACCTATCGATCTATCGATCGATCGATCCACCTATCTATCTATCTATCTATCCATCTGTCTATTTCTCCATGTATCTATGTACCTGCCGATCTTAAAGTTGTCTCCATCTGTTTGCCTATGTACCTACATGTCTGCTAGCTCACTCGGTCATATCTTAACTTCTTCGGGTCGTTATGAGTGTTGCTGGGAGCAGTGCAGTCGTCTTGATCGTATGAAGTCAATGGACATCAATCTTCAAGTTTCGCAGGCTAGCCAGCTACATGGATGGATGGATGGATGGATGGATGGATGGATGGAGGGAGGGAGGGAGGGAGGGAGGGAGGGATGCAGAGCAAAATGCTGAATCTTCTTAAAATAGCCTGTGCTCTAGAGGCGCGGTGCCATCATTACAAACATGATGTAAACGCCGCAAGCGCAACTGTATACCCCACATACTCTTCTTAATCTGCTGTGTCTGTGGACAGAGCTCTCATCAGCGACAGCAAGCAATATTTTTTGTCTCCCTAAAACGTATGCACTTTCAACAAAAAATGATCGCAACGTGCTTTCCTCAAACGAACGCATCAAAATTACAATCAGCAACAAAATGAAGTCCAACAATATACGCTGATGGATCACCAAATCAATGAACACCAGGCTTGAGCTGTGAAAGGAGGCTGGACGAAACGACGGCAGACGTCTGATATCGAACTTATTATAAAAGTAATTTGGTGGCTCAACAGACTCGGGTTGGCAGATTCCAGGGACCCGGGGCGTCCTGGGCCTTACAGTCTCTGGTTTCCAACCCTATAAGCCCTAAACCTTGAGCCACTTAACCACTAACCATAAGCCTCTAAACCCCAAACCCCCCATCTAGACCCCTAAACCCCGAAGCCCTAAACCCAAAACCCTAAACTCCAAACCCTAAACCCATCTAGACCCTAGTCAGCCCGAAATCGACACTCAGGCGCCGCCAGGGAGGCGGGGCACGAGAGCCTCTTGCACCAGAGACACCAGCGCCTTGGTTTTGAGGTTTAGGGTCTATAGGGTTTTGCGTTTAGGGTTTAGGGTTTAGGTTGGAGGTTTGGGGTCTTGAGGTTTAGGGTGTAGGGTTTGGGGTTTGTCAAAAGGTTCAGGGTCAAGAGGTTCCGACATTCGGGGATTAGGGCTTAGGGGCTAAACTCCTCCTTTCAGCATAATTTAATGTGCGACTGATATGAAAAGGCAACTGAAGCCGACACTATCTTCGGGAGTCTTAACTATCTGGTGGGGCCTTTAAAGAACTCGAACCCGTGTAGAACCTTCATGGACCTTGTTTAAGACATTTACAGCACCATTCCAGAACCCTGACAGAACCCTTATACAGCCCTTTAGAAGCCTCCTAGAACCCTTACAAGAAAAAATGCCCGTCAACAACCTTCATGCAGCCGCTGGGGAGGATTTGCAGGATTTGCTTAGGACTTGCTCTAAACCCAATCCAAGCCCGAAGCCCGAAACCCCTAAAATCCTAAACCCAACAAGCACTAATGATCGACCACGCAGCCTCCTCTAAAGGTCAGCCGTGCGGTCAGCCACGCAAACAGCCGACGCAAGTCCATCATCGATCCTTTGGGAGCGTCGCCTGTCTGAAGGGTTGAGGGTTTAGAAGTTTGGGGGTTTAGGGTTCAGAGCAGGTTTAGGGTTTGGGATTAGGGTTTTGGGCTTAGGGGTGTTAGGGNNTTAGGGTCAGAAAGGGTTTTATCAAGCTTTCTCAGCATGTGAAGTAAGGGTTTTATGTGCGATCTTGTGGCACTTTTGGGATCCGTAGTAGAATTATGGGTGTATTGCTCACTCAACCTTTTTGTCCTGAAAACCCACTCGCAGAAAACCTGCCTTTTGAGGGTTCCTCGTTTGAAACCCAGGACCCGAAAGCGTTAAAGGCCCTCAGAAAGCGTGTTGCACGATCAGGATGTCGATGACGCGGGCTCGGTCCATCCCGGTCTTCGCCCAAGACTTGGAGGAGGAGCTTCTTTGAGGTTTAGACTTTTAGGAAGTGACCCAGACTCGTGCCTAGATCGCCCAGTAGGTCGCCATTCGTGAGGGGTTGCTGGGGACCGGGCTACCAGATAACCCCAAAACAAGGATTCGAAATTTGAGGGCCATTGCATTAGATAGAGTCGCAAGTAGTAGCAGGCACCCCAACGCCCAGAACCCTACTACATGAGCCCGAAAGCCTAAACTCCAAGCCCTCAACTGATAAAACAGATTGAGCCCTAAGCCCCTACACCCCGAAGTCCTTAATTCACGAGCCCTCAACGACAGCTTAGCTGTACCTGTGGGGGCTTTGTCCTTGCGCTGAGCGGGTTTCGCTGCTTAATCAGGGTTTAGGGTGTGAGGGATAGGGATAAGCAGTTGGGGGTTTAGGGTTTAGGGNNGGGGGGGGGGGGGGGGGTTGTGGTAATGTGGGGGTCGTAGTCATGATATGCCTGTAAAGACTAGAATCTACCTTGAAGCCATCTTCTAAGTATCAAAGCCGCCACGCGATACATTCCCTACCGCGTATGGGGTTCAGGGCTAACCCTAGGGCTCTAAAGGACTCATATTTTAGGGCTCTTGGGCCTAAAGACCATACTATATAAAGCTTTTGGGCTATTTTGAGCCTTAGGCTAAAGGGTCCGCCTCACAGGAGATCAATGCAGGCGTGACGCCGCTCTGAGACAATCTTGTTGTTCAGGCTGTCGGGACCTAGGGCAGGGGAGGGTTCTTCAACAAGCTTGTGTTCAAAGAACCCTACATAAGCTCTAAGCCCTGAATCCTAATCCCGCGTTGGCTTCAACATGTGGAGTTGGTCGGTCTAATGGCTTCGGGTGTTGGCCGTTTGTTGTGTGGACTTCAGGTTTTAGGGATTGTAGGCGGCTTTTTGCATTCGGGGCTTAGGGGTTTTGTTGGTTTAGGGTTTGGGATTTAGGGCTGAGGGTTTTTCGGCCTTAGGGTTCGGGGTTGGGGATTTAAGATAGAGGGTCTACAGGGTTCGGCTAGGCTGTTGGAGTCCCGGCAGGGGGCTTTGGGACATGCATGGTTTAGGGCGGTTAGGGAAGTTAGGGTTTATGCTTTATACGGTCCCTGAGCCCTAAACCCTGAACCCTTCTGATACTTGAGCATTTAGGGTGCTGAGCGGTCTGAGCAACGGCAGTCAAGCACAAAGTCCCCTAGCACGGGGGGACTGCATAGACAGCAGCGCTTACGTTCCCGTGTAGTCCCACCGATTTCTGCTTCAATCCACCGCATACCCCTTGTTCTGATAGTGAATACCCATATACTGGAACACCCAAGACCCAACTCCAAAATCAGAGATAACTCAATGCAACCAAAGAGTCCCAGACCTTCGTGCCCGCAGCGCAAAGCCCCAAAGCATAGACAGCAAACCCGAAACCCTAAACCCTAAGCCTCAACCCTGAACCCTAAACCCTAAACCCCTAAAAACAAGCTCAATCCTCCAGAACCCTAAAACCCTCAGCCGAGCGCTGAAGAATGCCTGTCACTGAGGAATGGCCCTGCTGGCTCCAGCCTGGCTGAGATCTCCTAAGAGGGTTTGGGCGCGTGCCAACTCTGAAATACCCTCAGACCCAGAATCGAACCCGGGAGAACTGGATTGCTTTCTAGGGGTTTGGGGTGTACTGCTTGGCAGGCTTTGGGGTTCAGAGGTTAAGGGGTCTTCGGGCTCGTTCGGGTTCGCGGCCTTGAATCCCAAGCTGCGAACACTGAAATTCCCCGTTGACCTTCAATCCCATGGACCTCGTCGACCTTGTCTCCAAACCTGATTCCCAAAAGGGCCGCCGACTCCAAATACACAAGGAAGGACAGCCTATTGAAAGCATGCTCCTTCGCTGAGTCCTTCATGTTCCATTACAGGCTCCTGCAATTAGCAAAGGAAACTAGGTGTGCATAGAACGAGATCATTTAGTCGAAACTCCACACAAGAGTCCGTAAACTCCCCAAATCCTAAGCCCCAAACCCTCCTAGAAACTTTGCGAGTCTTGCATAGGCTCCCGAGTAAAGCCCTGTAAACCCATATAAACGATGCGAAACTTATGTAAGATTCCGAGCTTTCACCAAAACTCGCTGACTCTTGTACACTGCATAAGGACCCTTAAGTATTAAGCGAAGTATAGTCCCCCACCCCGCCTTCCGCTGAAACATAAAAGAAGCCCTCAAGGCAACCCTCAAAGGATCCCTTAACCTTCCCCTCAAAGGAACTGTTAGAGTCCTCTTGCTCGCTGTGGTTCGCACGCAGCGCCCTTCATTTTCCAAAGCCCCAGTTGGAGCCCTAGACAAGGCAAAGGATCAGGGCCAGTCAGGGCTTTTTTTGACATGGGGTTTCCGGATCTAGGGAGGGTGTTAGACGGGTCTTCGTCTTTAGGCTTCTTAACTGCACTTGCTATGGTTTGGGTAAGCGGTTATCAGGGCTTTATGTGGGTTCTGTGCTATTGAAGGCTTTTTGGGGGTGTTTGATCCAGGGCTCTGTCGAGTTTTAAGATTCTTGAAAGGTTGTTGGTCGTTTTGCCGCTAACCACAAGCACCTAGCCTCGGCAGGTTTATGGTGCGGGATTGTTTAACAGATTTCGGGTCTGAGGGGCCTAAGTTGAAGCACATGTGGGTAGTAAGGGGATACCACCCTAAACCCTAAACCCCCTAAACCCTAACCCAAACCCCGAAACCTCAAGTATACCTAAGTATGCAAGATTCAGAAGGGTATAAACCCTAACCCCTAAACACTGAAGGGTAACTTCGCCTGGCTCCCTAATCCAAAACAGAACACCCGAGACCGAGGAACCCTGAGCCGAAACCTCGGTGTCTGTAGAAGCAGTCATAGTACTTCTGCTGCTTCCCATATGAGCCACCGTCAACCGTCAATACTATGGAGGAGCAGATTTATACTACGTGATATCATGATCATGATTACTTTATATACATATATATATATTCATGTATGCACATGTGTGTATGTATGTATGTATGTATGTATGTATGTATGTATGTATGTATGTATGTATACACCTCATATACACATAACCCGAAATTCTAGTCGAATTAAGGCCCTATATAGGAACCCTGAGCCGTGCCTACATCCTTGGCTCCTGTTGGGCTTCGGAGTCTTACCAGGAGTCGCTTCCCTCAGCCCTCGAAGCGGGGATGACCCTGAAGCAAATGTCCCATGCGCAGGGACTTGGGGGCCCCGTGTTTACTGTTGATTGGGGTTTCAAGCTCTAAGATTCGAGGGTGCAGTTGCAGTAGCATTTACCAGGAATATTCAGAAGATGCACACAAAGTGTTGCTTGATTGTGCTACGAATATCTTGGCATTGAGTTTCACGGGCATGAGGGCATGAGGGTGTGAGGGCTGGTGTTGGCATGGTGTGGCCATGAAGATGATGAAGAGGATGCTGATGGCGATGGCGTTACTGCGGACGCTGCTTACGATGATGCATTTGTGCTGCACTTTACAAAAATTGCTTCCATTATGCCATACTTATTGAGTCTTATTGTACATGCCATTGTGCCTCGGAGTGCCAGGTGCCAGTGTTAACCGCAGGTGTAAGGTCTGAAATCTTGTGAACATGCTAACTTCAGTTACAGTAGTAAGGGATCCACACTAATCTTTTGCCATATATCCCTAGAGCGGTAAATGAAAGCAAACTCCTGAAGAAGAGTCCAGTAGTTGGGGTCCCCTGATTTTCCAACGATGTAAACATTGAATTGATTGATCTGTTTCACCCGATGTGGCATCGAGCCAACCTGGATTCAGTTTGGGGTTTGAGGTTTTGGGTTTGCCCGGTGCGCTTTTGTCGTTAGGGGTTTCGGTGTGTAGGACTTGTGGATATGGGGTGTAGGAAGATTTTCTCCATGCATTGCGATGCTTTGGGGATTCGAAATAGGGTTGCCATCATTCCGGCATGTTCGTGCATTGTATGCTGGACTCCCGCTAATTCAAAAGACTGAGTTCAGCAGCTTGCGCAAAGCCCACGTCCCCAAATTCC